TATTTATCAGTCCTTTCGTTTAATGCAATTTTCATAAAACACACATCTTTTTCAGAGCTAGCTTCGACAAAGCAGCTGGCCGAGTGGAGCCGCGAGGCCAGCGAAGTCCCCGCCTGCCGCACAGTAGCTGTACAAAAATGAGATGAGACGCACCCGAAATACCTGGCGGTCGTGGACCCGGGAGATGAGATACATGATGAGGATGATCATAGTACGCCTTCGCCTGCTGGAAGCCTGTCAAATGGTGATGTTTAAAAATAGGAAGCCAGTTATAAAGACGATTAAATCTCCAGACGCACAGAACAACATCCGACGTACAGCATGGACTTAGATTCTCAAAATCACCTGCCTAAATCCCACTTACCGCTCGAAAGCAAAGCTCGAGTTTCTGCTGAGCCTTTATGATCGTGTCAGCCTTGAACCGTTGCTGGGGATTGAACTCTGCCAATTTTTACAAGATGATTGGGAAATCGCCAATCTATACTGTCGTTAAAGTGCGCCTTTTGAAGTCGAAAATATTCACCACGACAGTGTTCCTCTTTAAAAACTTATTTAGTGCACGGCAGGAGCCAGCAGTACTACATTTAAACCCTATGATTTGTGTCCCTGTCCGACGGATGACAATGAAACTCAAATACAGAGCCACACGGTGGTCTACCCTTGGCCTGATCCCCGAATACAGAATGATTCACGGCGAACTGTCGAATATTATAGGAAACGTGACGGAAGCGCAAAGAGGACGAGGTAAAGGTGTTTCTGTGTACAAAGACACTAGGCACCAGGGTCTTAACAAGTTGAATAGCTGGGTTATCAGAAATACAAGCGAAATAAAGTAGTCTTGCAAATGCATTTGTAAAATACTGAAATACAAATCAGGTTCAGATCAAATTAAAAATAAAATTATAAACACATTCTAAATAAAATTGTGTTCAGAAATCACAGATTTTGAATCCTTTGATTTACGTTGTTTACCACTGTCGATTCAATAGAGTTATTAGTTCAAATAAAGCTGTCGATAGTTCAGCATTTGAAGCATTATTTTTATAATTTCTGCATTCTTTCTGTTTTTTTCTCAGTAAAAAGAGGTAAAAATAGCGTTTGTTTGTGAATAATTTGGCGCCTCAAGAGTCCTCAACTACTAGACTTAGAACGGGCGACAAAAGCACGTTTCTCGGCCAAAACACCATCTAAAAATAAAACTGAAATCTCAATAATCCGTTTCATCAATTGGTCGGCGCAAAGTGGTATTGGACGCATCACACAACATAATAGAATACAATGAATATTCGATTTGCACTGTTGAAACATGCAAGCAATGTCTGCTCAAAGTCACATGAAGAAGAGAAGTGGTAAAGAACTAAATTCCAGAAAATAGTGCGGATAGTCTCGAGTCTTACTTCTTAGATCGAAGGCCTCTGAAATATCGAGCAAAAATCAAAGTTGCAGCCAGAATGGATCTAGTAGCTTCAAAACAGTTTGACGATCTTTCCAGTAGACAGCGGCAAGAAATCATTACAAATTTCCTACTTTGGTCTTATTTTATGGAATGAATGCAGAAAATAGTCAGCGAAATGGATCCCGACTGTTTCAATGCCGAGAACGCTGCTACCGAAAAAAGTTTAATTCATTTCGTCGTCTTTCTTCGATGGGGCCTGAAAGAAAAATGAGCGAGTTCAAACATGAGCAGAAAACATACAGAACGAAAAAACTAAACATTATTATTGCTCCATGTCTGATCGAACGCCTTTGGTACGTATACTGTAACAGCTGTACATTAAAAATCTGAACGCAGAATTTTTTCCATTGTATCGGGTCGATGAACCCGTTTCATTATTTAGCACCAAATGCTTGTACCGACGCGACAGCAAGGCGTCGCAGAATTGGCAGGAGGAGATGCATGCCGACCGCTCATGAACTATGGTTGATGAGTGGACCTTCAACTGACCTGAACACTGAAGATTGGGCGCTGCCGGCGGTTTTTTGTCACGTTTTCCAGTTAAAGGTTGCAACAAGATGAAATCGTTACCGGGCTGTCCAGTTAAAAAGCAAAAACATATAGCGGGAAATAGAGACTTGCCAACCACTCCAGGTGGCACCACCTGTGCGGTTGGAGGGTGGGGATGGGGGTGGTTGGGGGTGGTCAGTCAGTACGCTGCGGCTATGGTCATTGAGCATAAATTTTTGATGGACTGCGGCCAAAGCTTCGTCTGAGCCAGATATGGTCCTCAAAGACAATGTACGACGACCGAAAGTTTTATTGCCAGATCATGGCAGTACCTGTAGCGTGTGCAGCCAATGCACTGGATCACGCCCCAACCACCCCAGCCACCCTTGACCACCCCCAACCACCCCCGACGACCACCCCAACCAACCTCCCAGCCCACCTCCAACCACTCCCTGGGGGTGGTGTACCACCCGATGGCTGGCGAAGTAGTTGAATAGGTGCTGCCTTCGAGTTTCTAACTATTTTTAGAAAATCTGAATTATTGTGCTTTAGTTTTTAAACCGAAACTTAACAAAAATTTCATCTTTTTTATAGCGACCGATTAGTTAGTGTTCTACGCTGCAGATTTTAAAATCGGGCTTTTGCTTCAAACTACGCCAAAATACTTCAAATGTCAGACTCAGTTATTCTGCTGAACCTCGCCTTATTTTTGCCTTATTGATTTCGACCTCCAATCCGAAATATGGACGGCTACGTCGTCACTTATAGTTGCCACAGAATTTTTCTGTATTTAACCGCGTTTTATGCCACCTGAGTCCAGTTCCAACACAGTAATAATAAACTCAGCCTTCATGATTAATGTTTGTCAACCGAATTAGCGAGCCTAGTCTCGGCTATCCTCTCATATTACGAAACATATTTTTCCAGTTTTTCAGATTCTCGAAGTTAACTAATATTTTTGCGAAACTTAAAAAGTTTGAAAGGGATTAGTTTTCCGATATTTACTGCTCTTAGATCTGGAGATTTATGGACGCTCATCAATTAGACTATTTTATATTATGCTGTTTTTCATTGCAGACATCTGAAAGCGAGGTTTTAATAAACCTCCATCCAGTGCATCTATTAAGCATTGAACATATACTTTAAGAATTTCCCAAAACCGTGTTTAGCTACTAAAATTGCATAGTTTATATTCGCTTCCACTGTGACCTACAATTTGGTTTTTAATTGATTTCGATTGTAATGTATTTATCGAAACGAATTTTTATTCATAATGCTCGTCTCCGGAGATTCTTTTGACCAAATTTTTTAATGTCTTACTTTTTTCATTCCTGCAAATTTTTTCTAATAGTAAATAGACGGAATGTTAATGACATTTTTATACTGGTATTAACTAAACAACTCTCACAACTTTTGATGAAAAACAGGAAATAAAGATTTTCTCGATAAAAAGGAGTATTTCTACAGAGATTCCAAAAAATTCAAACTTTTTACGGATGGTTTTTGAAGTGAGAGCGTTTTCTGGTTTTGTAAAATAGTATATTTTGTTTCAACCTCCTATCAAAATAGGGAGTTAAAGGTGTTATGTAGACATGATGAGCTTATAGATAGTAAAATTGGTTATTTTCTGATAATAATAACACAATCGAAACCAATGAAAACCAAATTGTGGGTCACGGAGGAAGCGAATGTAAACTATGCAATTTTAGTAGCTAAACACGGTTTTGGAGAATTCTTAAAAGTATATGTTCCAATGCCCGGGCCAGATACCTGGATGGGAATTTCGTTATTAAAACCTCCTTCCGAGATGTCTGCAAATATGATGAAAAACGGCACCAGACTGTAAAAATAAATCTAATTAGAAGAATATTAGGCGTTCCATAAATCTCAGATACAAAAAGAGCGAAATTGAAAATATGGAAACTATCCTTTCAAAAAATCTTTTAAGTTTCGCAAAAGATATTAGTTAGCTTCTTGAGCTTAAAACTGAGGAAAAAAAATATGTTTCTGTAGTATGAAGGGATAGCCAGGACTAGGCTTTCCTTAATTCTGGTTGGCAAACAGTGAAAATCATGAAAACCTTGAGTTTATTATTACTATTGTTGATTTGGATAGGTGCAAGCATATAAACATAGGGGTTAAATTTTTAGGAAAAATTCTGTGAGCAATATAAGTGACTGATGTAGCCGTCCATATCTTTATTTCGAGTTGGAGGTGTAGGGAAATCAACAAAGACGAAAAATAAGGCGAGGTCTATAGAATAAAATTAGAAACCAACTCGAAACCTTGGAATCTGACATTTAAAGTATTTTGGCGTAGTTTGAAAGCAAAAGCCAAATTTTTTAAAATCTGTGTTTCATCCCCTGTAGTAGAACAACCGAACCTACGACTAACTAATCGAGTCGCTGTCTGTTTTCGAAAAATAAAAAAAAATGAAATTTTTCATTAAGTTTCGGTTTAAAATAAAAAAACACAATAATTTAAATTTTCTAAAAATAGTTAGAAACTCGAAGGCAACCTGTTCAATATATCTCCAACCATCCTGGGTGGTACCATTCCCAGTGGTGGTTGGAGGTGGGCCAGCTGGTTAGTGTGGTCGTCGTGTGGTGTGGTGGGTGGTCAAAGAGTGATTGGGTGAGTTGAAGCGTGATCAGATGCATTAGCCACCCCACTTCCACTCCCTACAAAAATTTTTCATGATCTGGGCAAGCAAAACTTTCTGTCGTCGGGCTATATTTGTCTTGAGGGACCATATCTGACCTGGAACAAGCTTTATTGCTGATCAAGAAAAAAAATTTGTAGGCAGGGTGGTGCGGCTACCGCACGGACCACCCCCAACCACCCCAGCCACCCCTTTGACTACCCCTGACGACCATTCCCCCTAACCATCCCTTATCCTCATTCTTCCTCCAACCACCCCTGGGGGTGGTACCACCCGGGGTGGCTGGCGAAGTATATTGTTCAACATATGTTTTGCTAGATAACTGGACAACCCAAGTAACGATTTCGGTAATATTGTTCGAGCTTTTGGTGGAAAACCTTTCTAAAAACCCACCGGCAGCGCTGATGCTCAGGTGTTCCGAGGTCGAGTTGAGGTCCGACTCATCAACCACGTAGTTCTCGTCGCGGAATAGCAGATACGGTTGTCGAACCGTATCCTCTCTGCCGTTCTGCGACGCCTTGCGCGGCGTGTCGCGTCGCGTCGCCTGAAAATCGAATTTTTAAAAAAATATGTTGATCGATTTTTGAACATTTTTAATATCCTAAATAGTAAACCAATACATGACAAAAAAATAGCACTTCGAAAAATTTTGCGTTCCTAGAATTTTTAATGAAACACAATTTTTTTGTATGCATTTCCCGGAGCGTTTTAGATCAGGCAAGTAGCGGCGGATGGTGTCTTTCGGGATGGTGTCTTTTCGGGATGGTGTCTTTTCGGGATCGTGTCTTTCGGGATCGTGTCTTTTCGGGATGGTGTCCATAATTCGTTGTAATAAATGTTTCGTCTTTTTTCGTTCTGGTATGTTTTCTATAACATCCATTTTTACATGTTTGCCAGACTGGTTCCTGAACGCTTTTTGAATTTATCAAAATAAAAGCGCCGAGGATGGTTTTAAAATTTTTTCGGGCCAAGCAACGTTCTTAATCAGCAGTAAAGTAGTCAGGCTTCGAACATTTTCGCTCACTATTTTTTTTTCTGCATTCATTCCATAAAATAAAGAGCAAAAATTGGGGAACTTCTTATCGTTTCGGAAAGCATTTCTTGCCTCTGGTCTGGTTTCGGATTTTGGAAAAGATCAGGGTTGGTCACGAAAAGAGCGGGAGCTGGGAGCGGGTGCTGATTTGCGAGCCCCGCTCAAGAGCGGGAGCGGGAGCTGAAAATATTCAGCTCCGGCTCGGCTCCTGCTCCCGCTCAGCTCCGGCTCAGAGCCGGCTCGCAGAATGACCAACCCTGGAAAAGATCGAGAAATCAAATATTTTTGCAAGCTTGCGAGATCCATTCATTGGCTGCAACACAATTTTTTTGCTCGGCCTTTCAGAGCCGTGTTGAATTTTGCAAAAAAAAAAAATAATTTATAAAGTAAAGACTCAAGAACTTTATTTTATCCGCACTATTTTTCTGAATAATAGTTCTTTACCCCTCTCGCTGTTCGGGTTCGAGTTTTTAGAAGGCATTTAAAAAAACGCGTTTCAGCAATTTTTAAATCGATTCGCATTGCTGATACTCCAATGTCTTATGTTCCATTGTGCCGATTTCGGAATCTCGGAGCAGGCTGTCGCGTATTAGGGATTTGAAATTTTTTTGGATATAGTGATTTTGACGACACACTAATTGATATGACTCGCTGGCCCGGTTCTGAAACTTGAAGTCGAAATCGCCTTTAACGAATTGTTCTTGAGCAATTCCTATCTTAAAGAATCGCCATTTACCTCTTCTTACTGACAAGAAAAGATGAAAAGAAATAAAAAATAACGTTTTCAAAAAAATCTGGTTTGGTTAGGTTCGCTGAGACTCTAATCCATCGTTGATAGTCAGTGCTGAATTGGGACAACTGTAAACAATATCCTACTATCCTACTATATAGAAAAAAAAATAGTGTTTGTGTGTGTGTGCGTGCCACTTTGCATCCACTTCCGTCTGTCTGTCCGGAGGATATCGCGATAGAGGATGGATTTTAGGGTACGTATGATACGTCATTAGGTGCGCAATGGTCTTGGGATGACTGCACAACTATCAGATTTTACAAAATTATCGATTTTCGACATTAAATTTAAGTTTTTGTGAAAACTTCTTTGTTAGGAAACAATTAGCATAGACCGGAACTGGGGATACGACTATATAAAGCGGCAGACGAAGTGGTTTTTTATTTTTTTCCATCTGAATTCAGGACAAGTATGCAAAGTGAAGGATAAAATGGGGTCAGACGGGGCCAGGGTTGAAAAGTCGCGAAGCGGCTTTTCAACCCTGGTTAAGCATTCAAAAAATTTGCAAAATATTCATTTTCACGAAACACTAATTTTTATTTTGGAATAATTTATAATTTATGATCTGAGACCCTGATTTTTTAATTAAATTAGTTTGCAAGATTAATTTTTTCCTTTTTGCAGTCCCTAGATGAACCCGCGCTATTCAACTTGATTAAGGATTACAATTTTTCGTGTCTATGTTTTCAGAAACACCTTTTTTTTACCTCGTCTCTCTGCGCCCGTTCCGCGTCGCGTTTCCGCATCTCTTCGAGCAGTTCGCCGTGGATGTCCTCGTATTCGGGGGATCGAATTAAGGGGTAGTCCCCTTGGCGCATTAATGGCATCCCGGTTGCTTGGCCTCGCATCATCCCGGAATTTTCGGTATCCGTCCCGGCGTCGGATTCCTCGCATACGAGTTGCATTGACGAGGTCTCATCGCGAGTTTGTGGATAGTACACTCCTGGAAAAAGGCATTTTAAAGCCCCGTTAAAGTCGTTTTAAAGAAATTTTGGGTGGGTGAATGTTTCGGCTCAAAGGCTGTACTAGCCCAACACCATATCTACGATTATTAGTTGCGATCATTCTTCTTTTGCAATTTCCAATCATGCCATTCGGCGCCTTCTGGCGCGATTTAAAACTAAAAAAGAGCTTTTTAAAAACTCTATTAAATCCATAAAATTTAACCAAGCTTAATCCCAATTTAACTTGGTTTAAAAATTTCAACCTGATCATAAAGCTCTTAAGAAATTCGAAGCTTTTTTCAAACTGTTAAAGCAATACAATTAAATTTAAACAAATTGAAAATTTTGAAATCTATGAAATGCCATGCAGTTTATTTTGTCAAATGCGGAGGTCCTATTAAATACGAATTTAATCGTCTTACTTTTTGAAAAGTTTGAAACCTATTTTTTTTCCTACCTAAACGCTGCTCGTCCACCGACGATTCCCGGGCTTCCATGACGAAGAGCATCTCATTCGAGTCCATCCCCTCCTCATACGGTAGTCCTACCGTATCCTCCTCCTCCCCCGGGTCCACGATATAGGCGGCTATTTCCCGGAGGGCCGTCTCGTCCTCCGGTTTCCTGGCCACGAGTACCGTATCGCAGTATGCTTCGACGCATGGGACTTCGCTGGCTTCGCGAGCTTCATTTTCCGAAGCCGGCTGCTTGTCCGGACTTGGAGTTTTTGGGCGCTCTGAAAAAATGTGTGTTTTATGAAAAATTCAGATTAAGCGAAAGATTTGATAAATAATAAGCTGTGGGCGATGAAACTAAATTTTTGGGCGCAACCATTTAATCTACATTTAATAAAGCAATTTCATATGAAAAGCATTTAGTATATGAAGATTAGTTAATTATTTAAGAATGAATAATACTTTTTTGTTCGGTCCTGTATGGTATCTTATTTGTAGGCTTGATTACCGTCAGCTCATATGAAATCCGAATTTTTTAAAAAACCTCGAATTACCGAGTTTTCCATGCGAGAATTCCTCTATTTCCTATTTATTATGACTGCTTAATTGCATTTCTATTTTAGCGAGCATTATCAATTTTTGTAAACTTTTAAGAACATTTCAAAATTTAATGTTTCATACAATTCAAAGCCGGGGCGCACTTTTGGCTGATTAATCTACTCTTGCTTTGCATAGTACATTTTTTGAAAAACTTCAAAAAATCTCTAGTAATTTAATGATTTTTTGTAGCGCTTATTATCACTATGCTTTCCCTATTTCTAATTACGATCCGAGGCTTTTCGTAGTTTTCTAAATTCTTCAATCAGAGGTGAAATTTAATGTTTCATCAAATTTGGACCCAGGAGACCTTTTGGGCATAATAATGAGTTCCGTCTACCTCCTCAATTTTGCCAAACATCACTAGCAACCCGTATTTTTTTTATCCGTTTTATTTATTATTTAATAGTGCTATGTCTTCGCTGTTTTTATTTTGGATTTGCTCCATTTTCTAAATATGCTGATAATATTTAAAAATTTAATGTTTCATAATATTTTGACATTCTCATTTTCGGATGAGTAGTTCCTCATGTCGCTGGTTCCTTTATCTCTACCTGGCACGATGACGAAGGAGCCATTAGAAGACGAATCCGATGACTTTTTCGAGGCGGTCTCCTCAATTTCCTTTTGAATCTTGGCTTCTTCTCGGGCCTCATCCAGCATTCCGAGCAGCTCCTCATTATCCCGGAAAATCTGCTCCAGCGAATCCATTTCCTAAAAATATGGAAGTTATTATAACAGAGAAGTGGCTAATATTAACGCGCAGATGTCACCCCTAATTTTAACAAATTTTGAAAACTTAGAAGGCCAAAAAGAGTGCTTACTTAGTTTACCGGAACTCCAATGTTTCATAAAAGGCACGGCCTCAGCGATGAGCGGGCGGGAGAATTTCAAGCGGATATTATAGTTGCGACCATTAGTTATTGAACACAGTTGTTTACTAAAAGAGTCCCTTCTCAAAACTTGTTTCTAAAAACATAAAAACGTTTCTTCAAAAATCTTCAAAAACCTCTTTTAAAGGCTAAAAACGCGGTGTTTCATTAAAAATATTTACATAGCTACTCCCAACTTGCTTAATTTTTACGGATTAGGACCACTAAAAAATTTCTAACCTTTGTACTTTAGATTTTTAATGCAGTTTTTAGTAAGTTTTTTTAATATTATTTCTATCCTATATAAGCTACTTCCTTTATAATATCTTTTTTTTAAAATACAGATTATTTTTAAAACTATATATTTTAATTCTATTCTCCAAGATCTACCTTGCAATTCGATTTGTGTTATAAATAAATATTAAGCACCCACCTTCAGCGCCTCCATCCGGAGCGCATCAATAGTGGCCGAGGCGCGCGAGAGGCGTTTCGGGGTGTCGGTGGTGCACAGCAACTCCGCCGAGTCGAACAGGAAAGGCTGGCTGCCCTCCTCGGACAGGTTGTCCTTCGTGATGATGATCGCATTCAAAAAATCCATCTGGGGCGTTCTCGAGAAGTGCAGGTCCACCTTTTCGATGACCTCCTTGAACTCGTCGGTTTTCTTCTTATCCGCCTGATTTTCCGGAATTTGCGAGTGTTTAGAAATTTCATGTTTCGGAAAAATTTCAGCTTCTTTGCCATCCGGTTTTATTAATTTTGTACTCTGTTGAACTTCTCCAATTTCCGGTTCGATTTGTCTGGATTTTCCGGAGTGACCGGGATCGACGCTTTCCGGTGTAAAAATTTGATGTTTCGAAAAAGTTCCTTGCACCGGATTTTTGCTTCCAGGCAATGGGACTTCCGGGCTTATTGATTCTTGAGTTTTCTCCATTTCCGGTTCAAATCCGCCGGATTTTCGTTCCGGATCCGGCCGGTCCGGAATTAGGCGTTCCGGAAGCGCAGATTTTTCGATTTTCGCTTTTTCCGAATCTGGTTTTGAGGTTTTTGCTGTCTCCGGTTTTTCCGAAAGAACTGATTTTTCCGGATTTGTCATTTTTGGCTTTTCCGGAGCAGACTTGGCTTCCGGTTTTGTAGATTTTGAGCTTTCCTTATTTTCCGGATCAACTTTCCCTTCCGGACGTGCCATTTTTTCACTTTCCGGAGCTTTCTCCTGCTCCGCCAATCCCTGAATACGCTCCCTCAACTCCACAAGCTCTTGCTCCCCGGCTACCGTTGTCGGATTTTGATAGAATTCCACATATTCCACCGAGGACCCTTTGGAAGTCCGGCTATTCTGCGTCTCCCTGCTCGCCGATCTCTTTTGTCTAGGAGGCGGCACCGGATGCGGCACTTCCAGACTTTCCTGCCCCTTTAAACTGTCCTGCTCGGCGTCGGCGGGCCTGGGGTCCTGGCTCCTTGTACGTCTCCTAGGGCGTGGCGGAGGTACCGGCGTTGTTTCATGATCATCTTGCTCCTGTTCCGGACCTTCCTGATCAGCTTCAGTTAGCGTCAGCGTCCGCAAGCTGTCCGTGCTCTTGTCCGTCTTGTAACTGTAGCTGTACCGCATCGAGCTGCTCGCCCAGTTCTCGCTGTGGGACCTCGAGAAGCTCCGGAAGATTACGGTAGCGAACGCGCTCTCGGCTTGCTCACGGCGTTTGAGCTGGAAGCTGACTGAAGCGGCGGCGTGTGGGGGGCTTGGGGGCCGGACGTCATCTTCAAGCAGTTCAGGAGGCTCCCGTAAGTTCGAGCTTGCCTTGGATTTTTTGGACAAAGTTTGTACATCGATTCCAGGCTCCAAAAGTTCTGACACTAGGCCCTTTTGTGAAACTTCAGAATTTTTCACCGAAATTTTTTCTTGATTTTGTGAAAATTCGGGATTTTTATTTGTAGATGAAACATTCGAATTTTCAGGTGGAGTTTTGTAGGAATCGCTGTTATCCAAAAATTCCGAATCATTGCCTTTTCCTGAAACATGCAAATTTTCAGAAATTTTTTTAGTTCTCGATTTTTCCGGCTCTTCCGTTTCCGGTTTTTCCGCATTTCCGCTGGCCCTTTCCAGCGCCTGTTTCCTCGTTAAATGCATGATGTTAACAATGGAAGCTATATGCGCTTTGACCTTCTTCAAGACCTGCATCACCGCATCTGCGCCCTTTTTCGAGAGCTTTTTCCCGCAAAATTGCTTGATCGTGATGATCTCCGCATTAATTTGCACGAAAAGGTCGTGAATTCCAGATCTTACGGTACTTTTCGAGTCTCCCTCATTATGCAAATTATGCAGATTTCGCTCCTCCTTGGCCGCCTCCTCGATCAACGTCTCCAAGACGTCCAGCTGGTCGCGAATATTCGTAGTTAACGGGGTCATCCTCATCAACTCCTGGCTGGGCACGCGCTTGATTTTGGGGCTTTTCAAGCCGCTCGGCTTCGGGGGTTTCAGATTCAAATTGATATTCCTCACTTCAGAATCCAGAATTTCTGATGTTTCATCAAAATCTGGTACCTCTTCCATTAGCGATTCTTCAATCACGTCCAAATTTTCGCGTAATTGTTGTATCGGGGATTTTACTCTGGAACTTTCGATTTTATCGATTTCCCCAGCAGACTTTTCAATTTTTTCGAGTTCCAAATTTGAGCTCGATCCATTTTCGTAATTTCCATAATTCGTGGAAGGCGGATTTAATATCATGTCCGCTAGCGCGGCGCGCAACAGCTCTTTTTTGGCCTCGGCTTGGGCTTTGGAGACGGGCTTCTCGGACATTAGGCTCTCAGCTACAGCGAGAATTGACCTCTCGATCTCCTTGAGGTCTTGCTCCTCGGTGGTGGTTGGTCGGTGAGCATGAGCGAGTTGTCCGAGCTCGGCCTCGACTTGCTGGGCGATTTTGGCGATATTTCTGATGCCCTCCTCGCGCTGGGCTCGGGATTCTGTTCTGAGGGGATCCACGGGAGCGGGAAGGTTGCCGGGTCCTTTAAAAGCCGTATTTTCGGCATTTTCGAAAAGTTCGACTTTGTCGACATCTTTTCGGCTTTCCTGAGCTGTTACACTCCCTTTAAAACCGATATTTTCGGTTTTGTCGGCATTTCTGACATTTTCATGTTTGTCGGCATTTTCAGCTCTCTCTTGAGCTGTCACACTCCCTTTTGTCGTCAAGTTCGTCAAGTACTGACCGTCTTCCTGCGATTTTTGAGCTGTCACACTCCCTTTAAACCCGCCCTGCTCACCGAGGTTCTCGTAGGTGGAGCTGCTCTCCGAGCGGTCGTCCGACTTTACGAGCTTGGCTTCGGAAGTTTGAGAAGCTTGAGCAGCTTCGTCAGTTTTTCCTGCTGTCGCTTTCCCTTTAAAACCACCCCCATCTCGTTGTCCAGCAACATTATCATAGTTTTCACGCTCGTTTTGCTCATCCGAAGCCCGATTTCCAAGTCGGCTTGGCGGGCTTGTCTTCTCCGGACTTGACGAGCTCTTTTTCGGGCTCGACTCGGGGCTTGGCTTCCGGTTTTTGACCGGGGAAGCCGGAAGGCTGCTGGCCTGGGACCAGGGGACATCGGTGGCCTCTGGAGAGGACTTTCGATTTTTATCGATCGATGAAGGCGGGTAGACGCTTGTGGCGGCGGATTCTTCGCAGTCTGAAGTTGAAATATTTGCCTTCCTAGTGCCTTTAAAATCTCGTTTCTGGTCCTGAACGGCTTGAACTTGATGACTCGCACCGGAATTCGGGTTTTCCGGAATTTGCTGGGTATTTCGGGAGGTTTCTGGATGGATTTCTGGCTCCGGACGCGCACTAAAATCCATTTTCTGCCCCTGAACGGCTTCAGCTTGAAGTTCTGCACCAAGAATTGCATTTTCCTGAGCATTTTCCGGATTGGAATTAGCTGTTTCAGGCCCTTTAAAACCGGATTTCGAGCTCTGAACGGCTTGACCTCGTTGTTCAGCTACGGGATTCCCTTTTCTCGCTCTTTCCGGACTCCCATCCGGAACCGGAATCTCAAAATCGAACATGGCTTCAACATACTTTTCTACGACTCTCACGTAATCCGGATCTTCCGGATTTTCCGGAGACAACCCCGACTTGGCGGTCACCTCGATTTTTTGGCCCTTATACAAAAATGTTTCGGGTAAATCGGGGGAGCGGGGCTCTTCTAATGGATTAATCGTCCCGTCTGCTTGAGAAGCCAATTCCATCAACAAAGCCCGCTCCATCTCATCCGAGCTGCTCTCCGCTTGGGCGGGCGGCTTGGCTTGGGCTTCAGGTGCCTCGTTTTTCCAAGTTTCGGCCTGAAAAGCTTCGTTTTTCGGCTTAACGGCTTGGCCTTGAGCTTCAAAAGCTTCACTTCCGCTCGTAGGATCTTGAGATTTCGAAGTAGAGGCTTCGTTTCTGGGTTCAAAAGCTTCGGTTCCGGCTTCGAAGGCTTCGTTTTTGGGCTTCACGGCCTGACTTTGGGCTTCGAAAGCTTCAGATGCTTCAGCTTTTGAAGCCTTGGTTTGATTTTGAGCTTGAGAAGCTTCGTTTTTCGACCACACGGCTTCATTTTTGGCTTCAAAGGCTTCGTTTCCGGTTTGGCTTCGAGCTTCGAAAGCTTCGGCTATCGAGGTTCCGGCTCCGGTATGCTGAAGCTCCTCCTCCCTCAACTCCTTCGCCGCGTGCTCAAACGGGTTGAACATGGCAAACTTCCATAGCCCAGAAAATGGGGCTTCCAGGCTTCGTTTTAGGCTGAGCTTGACCTCAGAGTCCTTGAGCCTGACCTGGCACTCAGCCAAGTTTCCAGCCGCTCTCCTGAGCTCGAGCTCAACGAAGCAGTGGGCCGATTTTTGGAGCAGCACCTCGGTTTGGGACTTGGTTTTGCGGACCATATTAATGAGCTCCTTGCTGGGACGAGGCGGGACTGGTGGTGGTACTTTAGTTACCTCATGCTCTAGCTCTTGCTCAGGCCGTTTCGATACCTTTCCGGGTGTAGCTTGGAGTGTAGCGTACAGAAATTCCTCTTGCACCAATTCCCGAATACGTACTGTAACGTACGAGGTCTCGTAGTACTTGTAGAAGTTGTGCCGCTCCTTTAGGTCCTCGTTGTAGTTGACGATTCTGAACAGCTCGAAGTCGGAGACCGCGGTGACCAGCCGGCCGTGGGTTGAGTCTGGGCTATCGGATAGCCGGATCCGGAAATCGGCGTCCGCTTCTTCTTCGTCCAGCATTGACACCTAAAAAAAATTATATTAGTTGGCTGGCAGAGATTCTTTAGGAATTTTGGACCCTAGGGCAGGCTAGCAGGGGTTGTTTGAGGAAATGGACGGACCCCGAGAGGTGGGCAGGCTAGCAGAGATTCTTTGAGGAAATGGACGGACCCCGAGAGGAGGGCAGGCTAGCAGAGATTGTTTGAGGAAATGGACGGACCCCGAGAGGAGGGCAGGCTAGCAGAGATTGTTTGAGGAAATGGACGGACCCCGAGAGGAGGGCAGGCTAGCAGAGATCTTTAAGGGTCCTTCGACTACCAACTATACTATCAAAACACGCTCACGTGCGCTTTAATAACGGAACATGTTTTTCCTAAAAGGAAAATCTTTTAGGAGGCTAGCGAAGGTTTTTGGGAATTTCGGAAAATGGGGAGAGCTAGCAATGATTGTTTGGGGAAGCGGCGAAGAAGAAATATTGTCGCGCTGGAGTGCCACCTATTGTTGAATTCGGAACTGGTTACCCGTGCATCAGATTTGAAACAAGCTTTTTTTCGGTGCCAAAAATCGCAAAGAGATTGGCGCACTTTCTTTGGCAGTCATAGTCGGTTTTGGGGACAAGCTAGCGGCAATTTCGCGGAAACGGTGATACCTGGGACATGGTCTTACCAGCGGAAATGCGAACCCAGTAAAGGGCAGGCCAGCAGAGGTTCTTGTGGAAACCGCTAAGCCCTTTGTGCCTATTCTTTAGCCAATTCAAACCGATTTTTATAAAGCTTTTTATTACACTCCTCCCCTCGTTGGCCTTTTTGTATGCGATGAAAAAATAAATGAGCTTTTGCGGTATGATGTTTCGAAAAAAGGATTAAGCTCGAATTTTTTTTGTGTGGGATTGTGTAGTTTTTTCCGAGAAAATTAGCTTATATAATTTTCCACATTATGAAATTTCGACATTATGAAAGGCATCAGAACCCAATCGATTACGCGTTGGAAAGGGGGCCCACTGGCTAACCATTTTTTGGCTAGTTTCCATTTTTTTTATAGAAATTCTTTGAAGGCAAATGACGCCAGGATTGTTTACTGAAATGCCCACCTGCTGCCTATTTAAGGCGAAACTCTTCAATTTAAAAATATCTTTAATTACTGACCTTAGAAGGTGCATGCTGGATGAATCGAGTGGCCTGATTTGTGCCGGGAATTGTCCTAATTCCGGGCATCGACCGCTCGCTTACCGTCTCACCTGCAAATGAACGGACGGTGTTTTGAAAGTAACGACTGGACAAATGAATATTCGGAGCGTCGCATCAAGAAAAAATTTTGTCAATCGGTTAGGCTTTTTCCTGAAACACGTTTTACGAAACGCCAAAACCTGGCTTATGGAATTCCCCCAACATTGTTAAAATTAAAAAATTTTTTTAAAATTAAAAGCATTTACAGGTTGCCAAAGTTCTTCAGATTTATTATGTTTCAATTAATAATGGTAAATGCATAGCTTGATATTTTTCATTGTTAACAGATTATAACACCGACCCCCTAATTTACTAAAGGCAAGATTTACTTTGAATTTGTTTCTTTCAAGTCACGATCAAGCATTAAGGAAAGATCTTTGTCGATTAGTTAACAATTTTCTTGAAACACATTTTACTGAAACCACAAAACCTTATTTAAAGATTTTCAAAACAGTTTTAAAGCTTATGCATTTGAAAGAAATTATCTACAAATCAAGAGAAAACTATAAAAAAATCCCGAAAGCAAAATTTTTTAGTTTTCCGGTTTTTAGAAAACCATGTTTCAAGAAAATTGAATTAAAATTTGGAAAATTTAGGTGCGGTATTAGCACCATTTCGCTTGTTTACAATTTGGTTTTCGACAGGACTTTTGGACGACGACACACAGGCTTTTTCGACAAAGAGGAGGCAAAACGCCCAAAAACCAATTAAATTCCGAAAGCAATAAAATGATAAAAATGCAATAAAGCAAAATTTCACTATTTTTTTGTGAAATTATGTTTCAAAAAAAATTAACAATCGGCGGGTGCTCTTTGAGCAATTTCACTCCCATCGCTATTTTAAATTTGTTGATTTGACGGAAAGATTTTGGTGTTAGTACAGTAAAATAATGTTTATCTATAATTCTTGAATTTTGGAACTATAATAAATTAATCGATCTATTTTCTAAATCAGTAAATATCTAATTATTAAATCATCTCAATCCAAAAAAATACAGAAAATTATATCAGCAAACAATTGCCGTAATTTTGTCTCCTCTTTATCTTTTTTATTGTTGCAAACACACCGCAGCGCACACGGCACAGCATCGAGAAAGAACAGGGCACAGAACTGAATAGAATCCGTGGTTTTTAATTAAATTAAAAAGATTATTAAATTAATTAAAAATAGAAAAACGAAAGGGAAAAATTAGTATAGTACCGTAGGCCACAGGAGGAGGAGACGAGGCGTTGAAATATGCAGATTTTCGGAAGAAAAAAGAGGGCGAGGAGCAGGAGGAGAAAAATCGATTTGGCTGATTGCGAATTAAATTTGCATAATTAAAAAATTGCGAAGATGCCCAATTTTTCTTGAAGGGCCCGTAAAAATCAAAAAAAATTTGGATTTAAGCACTAAAATTTTTCAAAAAATTGTTGCGAAAATCAATGTTTCAAAAATTTTTAAAAACTAATGGCTTTGAAAACTCGGAAAATTCAAATTTTGTGCACTGTTCTGGCCGGCGGTGCTGGGGCTGGGTGGTAGCGGTGGAGCGGAAGCAGCCGGTGTGCGACGCACAAAAATCCAAAACTCCAAAAATGCAATAAATCTACAAAAAAACGAAACTTTTTAAGGTTACTGTAGCCTAAATTTGTAGCGCCGCCGCAGCCGGCCGGAGCAGCGCGAAAAATTTGAATTTGCTGGATTTCGAAGTTAATTAGACCAAAAAACCTAATTTAAAAACTTTTAAAATATATAAACGTACCACGTTTAAATACTTAAACTGAAATCTTAAATTGCAGCGCAAAAAGGCTAATTCTTCATTTTTGGGCGGCCCGGCGAAAAACTGGGCATTTGGAGAAAAATGGCGTGTAGTCTGTAGGCTTGCGACGAGCGGTTTTCGATTTTTTTTTATACTTTTGACGTTTTAACGTATTGTAAATCCCTGATTATTCCATTAGTCCCCACCCAGCATTATTCGAAAAATTTAATTGTTCATGAATTTGTTTCATGAAACTCATTTTTTACCAGGAGTTTTTAATCGAGTTGTGCCTTATTTTGTCCAATTTATTTTTCGTTTTAACATTCACAATTTAATATAGCAAACGATACCTCAACATACCTAAATTATTTTTTTGAATCGATTGCTTGTGGTCTAGGATCCGATCCGATCCAGGAATTACAAAAGCCATACAACTTTTCTTGCCGAAACGGAATGAAACCCTTCTTTTTATTGAAATTTCTTTGTTTGTTTTATGACTGTTTATTATTACTATTGTAAATACCTAATGATCAAATAATGCATATTTTTCACAGTTCTCTTACAATTTTCGATTGCAAAATCTTTTGGAAAATCAATGTTTCGAAAGAATAGCTCTTTTCCAGAAATAAAAATTTGGCAATAGCCTAGGAATTTTTTGCCATAATCTTTCCTATTCATTCAGCTAATTGTTGCATCATCCAAAGTCGAAAATTTTGTTGACAGGATTTTTGATTTTTTCCGAAAATTAGCATAATTAACGTACCGAGAACCTTCAGGAAACACTTGGTCACGACCGTGCCGGCCGGATTTGTGGCCTGACATTGGTATTCGCCCTCATCTTCAGGGAGGGTTTCCACGATTTTTAGAAGACAGACACCGTCCTCGTAGATCAGGTCGTAATCCCTGGAAATGGGCAGGCTAGCAGAGGGGGGAGGACCGGACGAGGGGAGGGGCAGGCAGCGGGTGTTGAGGAAATGGGACCCAGAGGAGGGCAGGCTAGCAGATTGTTTGAGGAATGGACGGACCGGGCTAGCAGTTGTGGGCAGGCTAGCAGAGATTGTTTGAGGAAATGGACGGACCCCGAGAGGAGGGCAGGCTAGCAGAGATTGTTTGAGGAAATGGACGGACCCCGAGAGGAGGGCAGGCTAGCAGAGATTGTTTGAGGAAATGGACGGACCCCGAGAGGAGGGCAGGCTAGCAGAGATTCTTTGAGCCAGCGCCAACACTTATTATTGCAACAATGAACGCCGTCGCCTATTATCCAATTCGAGGCTTGCCAAACGCACCCGAGACTCGGAACATTATTTTTAAAATCTGAAAAGACTAGCAGAGGTTTTTTGGGAAATTTAAGGGCCTTCGGGCAGGCTAGCAGGATTATTTTCGTAAATTTCGACCCCGTCTAGGAAGGCTAGCACAGATTTTTGAACGAAAAGGCAAACAACGATGAAGATGAAGAAGTATTATGAAGTCCAACCCCCGATAACCGCAATTTACGCGTGGAAGATGATTTTCTCACTAAAATGATTATCTAAAAAGGATTCTTTGGGGCGCCGAAAATTGTCTGGGGGGCAAGCTAGCAGGGGATCCTTAGAAATTTTCCCTGAGAGGCAGGCGAGCAGGGTTTCTCGGAGAAATTCGAGAAGCAGCTTGCGAGGGAAGATTATCTGTTCCAAACGGCTCACTGCGCATTCCAGACATGGAACACTTAATAATGAAAATTGGGCAAGCTAGCAGAGATTCTTTGAGGAGAAGGCGAACAAAACAAATTTTGAAGTGACGATCTCCAATTAGCGAATTCAAGTCCCGTTAACCATAGTTCTGATACGGAACATCTAAATTGAAAAAACTGTGTTTTTTTTGGGGGGGGGGAAAAGTTGGGGGGGGGGGGGGGTTTTTTTTTTGTCTTCACCTGTGGGGGGAAAAATTTGGGGATATTTTAATATTGTTTTTATGGGTCCGCGAAAAAAAAAAAAAAAAAAAAAATTTATATAAATAGGGAAGTAGGGGTGTAGTGGGGGGTTTGCAAATCAAAAAAAAAAAAAAAAACAAATTTAATAAATATTTTATAATATTTTTTTTTTTTTTTCCCCCCCGCCCACCCCCCAAAAACAACAAAAACGGCGAAAAACAAAAAACGGCCAGAAAAAAACGAACGGAGCGGGAGAAAGAAAAAAAAAAAAAGGGACCCCCCCCGGAAAAAAAAACCCCCGAGAAAACCGGGGGGCCAAACTTCCTTACTAAAAAAAATTGGATGCGATTGGCGCAGATGCTTTAGGACATGGAAAAACTCCTGAGGGCAAGCTAGCAGGGTTCCTTTGAGGAAATTTGCCCGGTGGGGCAGGCGAGCAGGGCTTCTTGGGGACACTTGGGAGGCTGATTTGAACGACTGTTTCTGTTTCAAACGGGTCACTGCACATTCCAACCCTGGAACACCAATTTTTATGATGAAAGTTTGGCGGGGCAAGCTAGCAGAAATTCTTTGAGGAAATTGCAAACAAAATCAAATTACAAACGCGCTGGCGAAGCCCAATTATCGCATTAAATTCCCATTAACCGTTGTTCCGACATGGAACATCAAAACTAAAAAAACATGCTTACTAAAAAATTTAAGGCGATTGGCGGAGATTCTTTAGGACATGTAAAATCTCCAGGGCAACCTAGCTGAACTCCTTCAAGGAATTTTCCCGGAGAGGCAGGCGAGCAGGGATTCTTGGGGACACTTGGGTAGCTGCTTTCTACGACTCATTATATGTTTCAGACTGATCAAACCTCATTATATAACTGTAACACATTTTTATTGCGAGGAGTCCTTAGGCAAGCTAGCAGAGATTTTTTGAGGAGAAAGCAAAAAAAAATGATTTTGGACAGAAAAAACGACACACCATTGTCCAATACAACCCCGGTTAACGATTGTTCTGGAATGAAACATGTTTTTCCAATAAAAAATTGAATCGCCGGGGAGACAGTCCTTAGGCCCGGAAAATTTAAAGAAGATATGCTAGCAGAGAACGTTGATAAAAATTCTGATCAGGAGAGATGGGCAGGCTAGCAGAGATTCTTCAGGAAAACTCACTCTCCCTGCTTGATGACATCGCCATCGACTGTCCAGGCGACTTCTGGCGTCGGCATCCCGGTGACGATGCATTTGAATGTGGTCGGCTCGCCCGGGTTGGCTTGTTTGTCCTGGGAAAAGATTCGGTTTAAAGGAACGTGCGAGGCACGACTATCGATTTTTGGCTATTGATTGGCGTGACGCACCGCGCAACATAGCTTTGTTTCCGTTTTTTGAATGAATGGTTGAAGGAAGGCTTGTCCTTGCTACCCAAAAGAACCTTTGCTCTTACTTTTTAAATCTACTATATATAAATTTCTAATGTCCGTCTGTCCGTCCAGGAATTCAGCCAAATGTTGCATCCAAATTCAAAATTCAAATTGTGGGGGGTGGGCCAGCGCTGAACCCCCGCGTAGCGGGAGGTCAGCGCTGGTATTTTACAAACGTCTCAAATTATTAACGCTGAAAGTTTGTGTTTTTATGAAATGTGCCAATTATTATCTCGTCAGATTTTTAGTCTCAACCAGGGTGGAAAAGCCGCTTCGCGACTTTTCAACCCCGGCCCCGTCTTAGACCGCATGCTGTTCTATGCTTTGCATAATTGCGCTGAATTCAGATGACAAAAATGAAAATTATTCGCTTCTGACCCTTTATATAGGCGGCTCCCCACTTCCGGTCAATGCTAATTTTTCGTAGTGTAGAGGGTTTTACAAAAACTTAAATTTAATATCTAAAATGGCTGATTTTTATAAATCTGATATGTGGGCAGTCATCCCTAGACCATTACGCACATAATGACGTATCGTACCCACCCCTAACTTCTTCCCCTATAGAGATACGACTGGAACAACGATACGGAAGTGGATGCAAAGTGGCATACACAGACAAAATTTTTTATATATAGTAGGATAAAGGTACAAAACATAAACATTGAAAAAATTGCCATACCGTCAATTTCCTGTGGAATTTGGGCGGCTGCAGGGCGGTGGAGATCGATTCCGAGATGGAGAACGAGCGCTCGGCCCGCATTTTTGGCGGCTCTTCAGCGGCACTCGGTGGAATTTCCTCCTCATCATCTGGCGAGCTGACGGTCGCCACGATTTCGACCGACTGAAAGAGCAAAATTAAATATTCTGAAAAATTTTTCCGAGCTAATAAACACCTGCGAAATTTTGGATATTTACTAAGTTTCTGTAACATATTTTTCTCAAACATTGGGTTAAACGAAATCAAGGTCATAGCCTTGCACTAAATTATAAACAATTTGTCTAATTACCTGATCAGGGCAGCTGGCGTCAACCTCAACGAAAACAGCTACGACACTGACTTCATCGTCCTCCTCCTCGGCGTTAGCGTAGTCGCGAGGGGCACGACGGAAGACTTCTTCGTTCCTTTAAAGATATTATTTAGCGAGATTTTAAATAATCCGAAGTTTTTAATGATATTCTAAATTTTACAGTTGTTTAATGTTACGAATTCCCAAAAAAATTTAAGAATAATGTTTTAGCGGCTTATCAGGTAAAAATCGGCTTGGCTTTGATAATTGGTCATCGTTGTGAATTTTAATAAATTTCTAATTTCCTATAATTAATTCAAAGTTAATTTTCGCAATTTACGTAATTTTTTCTTATTTGCGTTGTCGTCGTATTATCATCCTCGTATTTGCAAAGCGATGTTTCGTCGATTTATCAAGCAAAATCGAACTTCTGTTCGACAATCCGACAAAATTAATTTTTCTAACAATTCTTTTTCGCTTATCGGATGGAATCCTAACTTGAAGTTTCTAACCTACCTGGAGGTCTCGTTGTCGAAAACGAGATCAGCAACTCCATGCTCGTTTTGTGGAGCATCAGCCTCTTCATCCTCAGCCCCCTCAAAGGCGATGACCAATTCCTGGTGGGCGGCGTCGCCCTGCTTCACCAGCGACACCGTCACGTTTTGCAGCTGAAAAACGTCGTTAGACTTGCGCTTCAATAATCGCGATCACGCGAGGGAGGATTGGAAATTCATGATTTTCCTGAACCTTAAAACTTTTCGAAACATTTTTTGTGCCGATTTCGGGAGAGCGGTAGCTTTGACTAGTTTGCCGACAAATTAAAAAATATTAAAAGTTACAAGTATCCATTAAGAGGAAAATTAAATCTGCATTGAACTGAACGAATCAGCTATTGGTGATTTTTTACTATGGCATTATTTCAAAACGAAACAAACGAAAATTAAAAAAGCCACTAAAAAAGTCGATCTATCTACTTCTTCGAAACACGGTTTTTCGCCTCTTACAAAAGTGAAGAAATTTAAAGGGATGCCGACGGCATAGTCAATCGGTTACGCGCTGGAAAGAAAATGTCTCTGCGCCTCTTCCCAGGGCGCGCTCTCTGCCCTGTTGGCTACTTGCCAATTTGTTGATGGGGGGATCGACACATGCCGTCCGCAGCCCTTTAAAGAAATTACACCAAATGCATTTAGTTTTCTGGCACGTTTCTATAACGAAATAATTGGCAATTTTTATGATACGTTGATGCCAATTTACATATATAATATCTTTTTTATTTGGATAAAATTTATAATTAACGATTAATGATACCAATTGACTACATTCGATAAAAGAACAGATGAATTACCCTAAAACCTCGTGTATAGGTCCTCCCCGTGTATAGTTCCGGGTGAAAATTTTCATGTGTACGGAGCGTCCGTAATTCCGTTTGACCGTCATTAGGTGTGTTTCGTTTTTTCCGTTTCTTGCAGATAACGCCGCTCGCGAATGGTATTTTTGCAATTTTGATGGAATATTTGTTCGTATTTCGACTATTTCCAACAATTTGAGTGGTTTAATGAAAGAAATTGCTGCAGGAGGCTTTGAGAACCGGCTCTTTTGGCCTACATAGCTTTTGGGCCGAATTGTACCCTACGCACATTATTTGGTGTCATTTGTATTGGTACGGAACCAAACTGTACCGGACCTATACACGAGGTTTTAGGGTAACGCTTTGAACGAAATTTTTACCTAGGGAAATCTTTGAAACATGATCTATGCATAACAGAACAACATCAAAGCGTTTTATGTTTTTTCATGTTTTTGCATATTTCTTGCCCAGGAAAACCTGTAAAAACTCAAAGATAAAACTCGCTAAATTGGGATAAATTGATAATGGATAATAAATCAGCGCATACCGAACCTCGAATTATTAGAAGCTATTCGCTTCTCGGTAATTTGAATTGTTGATACATATTTTTTGCAAGAAACTATTATTCAAGAACGTAACGACGTTCTTTCTGCCTGATCAGAGCTGCATGATTATGATTACATTTCAGTCGCCGCTTAAGTAGGGGGAATAAAACACACATTTTCTAACCGAAAAATGCCAATTTATAATTTTGGAGCGAAAATGTTTCAGCATTTATTGATAATCCGGCACGAAGCTTAGTGCTATTATCTGAAAAAAAAGAAAAGAGAAAATTATACGTGCAAACTAGCTACGTATTTTTCAATTTTTTTTTACGTTTCTGTTATAATTTTTAATTTAAAATAGTGAAAAATGGATAAATCAATGATCTACGCCTTTTTTAAACCCAGTAAACTTCGAGATTTTTATATTGCTCGGTTAAAAGCCGCAATTTAAATACCCCGAAAATCGATAAATTAAAAAACCACAAACGCTCTTTTAAAGCAATTAAACTACCAGATTTTTATATGTCTTTTATTCTTTTTTTTATTAGGCATTTAACTATTGAAAAAATCAATAATCAATAATTTACGCTGTCTTAAATTATATAAATTCCCACCTTGACCTGTGCGGCTGAAGCGGCGATGCTCAAAAGCTCGGGAACACATTCCTCCATTTCCAGAGTCGCAGTGACGTCTTCCGCCTCTTCTCCCGGCTTTGACAGCTCGAAGCTGCTTCCGGTTTTCTTGGAAGCCTGCAGCCCGAGGGCTTTCTGCACCTTTTTGATGCTCCACGTGATGGCTTCCTAGAAGCAAGGATTTTAATTAATTAAAATTTGGTTTGGAAAAAGTTGTTGCAAAAACCTCTAATCCTACTCCAAATATTTAATTAACAATGTTGCCCACTTCACCTCTTCCTAACGCTCCAAAAATAATCAATTTTTCATCAAAGATAAATATTTGTAACGATATTATTTTTTAGGTTTTCCATTTAACACGGCTTAAATAAACTAAATCGCTCCCGAAATTCAGAAAAATCAATAAACCTTGTAAAATGTGTAGTTTTGTAGACAACCCCGGTTCAAAAAATTAATCGTTTTTAGTTTCGAATTTCGAATTCATCCTATTGAAAACGGAGGGCTATTTAAATTTATTTAAAATATTTTTTGCAAAAAGTATGTTTCAGATAAGTGCTAGGTGCGCTGGCAGATTTTAGCTAGACTCTAGATTGATCCGTATTTGCTAATTTTATCTTTTAAACTCATGGTTTAAATAAAGAGATCCATTTCGAATAAATGTAGCTTTCTATATTTCATTCCTTATTAAATGCACGATACCTAGAAGCTCCTAATTTTAAAATACATTTCACGTTTTTGGTAAAAAACTATGTTTCAGATAAGAGCTACAGACAGCGATAGATTTTAGCCAGAATCGGTTTCGGCCAGACAATTGCTAGTTTTCTGGTTTTAAACTCATGATTTAAATAAAGAAATTAATTTTCAATAACCTTGGTTTTCTATATTATCTTTCTTATTAAATGCACGATGCCTTAATGCTCCAAATTTTAAAATATTTTTTTACATTAGAAAATATGTATCGGCCTAGGCCCATCTGCAAAGGCAGTTTTCAGCGAGAATCAATGCAATACAATCGGTTTTTAGTGATTTCCTGGTTTTCGAATACCTGACTTAAATTAAATAAATAATTCTATTAACTGTCATTTATTATATTCCTTATTAAATGCCAGATACCTTAAAGCTCTTGCTGACGCCCTCGAGGATGACGATGCGGTGCTCGGCTCTCGCCTTCTTCTTGGATTTTGACGGCTTGACGGACGTGTCGGCGGCCTGCAAAATTGATTCGAAGCATTATTATTCTCGAAATATTCTACAGGTTTTTACCCCTCATAAAAATCTAGCTTGATCCCTATAATCTTCCATTTAACTGAATAAAATTGGTTGCTTCGAAATTTTCGAATAATGCTTCTCATCGAAACATCAATTGCAAAACAGCAAGCTTTGAATCGCCAAGTAAGAAAGTTACAGTACGGCAAAGTTGCGGATTTTATGTTAATAGTGTTGCTTCGTTTAATAGGGAAAAGCTCTGTTTCGGCCGGCGAGGTGGCCGGCGAACCTATGGGGTTGGCGAGCTGGCCGGCAAACCTCGGCGCAGTGGCCGGCGAACCAGAGCTCGGCGAGGTGGCCGGCGAACCACCGGCGAACTTCGCCGGAAAAGGGGACGAGAGGGGATCGGCGAACTTCGCCGGCGAACCACGACGCGACCGGAGTGGCGGGCTGCGAGAGAAAAAAAAGTCGTAAGTCATTTGCAGAAAAAAACCAACTGGCGTGGGATCGGCGGCCGAAACTACAGGTTGTTTTAAGAAAGATACTATTATTATAAAGACTGATAGATATGAAAGCTGCCGACGAGAAAGCGGCGAATGCGCGATACGGCGATCCAACGCGTTACTGAAATATTACGATCGGTGAACGAAGAATCGGATCCAGATGAGGTGGAGGATAAAGTGCCGGAAATGGAAGAATACGCAGGTCTGTGATGTTATTAGAAACCAGCTTATTACGATGGAAAATTAGTATTTATATAGGGAGCGAACATAACGGCACCGTCAAGGTAATTACTTGAAACCCCTGTAACGATTTCGACACCCTTCAGGTAAATCCCGAACTGATGGACGGAAAAGTCCTTACGCGACAGATCCAACGGAATGGGGACAACCCGGCGCTCGAACAGCTACTGCAACGTCAGCTCTCCTACGAAACAATGGTAAGGTAGCGGTAAGTTGATCAAAACCGAAGATGAAGGTAGTCAGTAAAGGAATACCGCCGAAAGCGTAAACCGTTACCAAACACACATTTCGCTTCGGACAATCTCAAAAAAAGGTACAATTTCGAATCGAATTCAGGCCTCCACAAGCCGCTTCTCCTGCGAGGAAATTCATTTCTTCACCCGTTGTTAAATTTTTACTGTTGATAAATTGATTTAAGCCCCTCTTCTTCAATCGCTATCTGGGTCCAATCCATCCTGGTTCTATTAATCCATGTTTTCTTCGTAGATCCTTATTGTTGAATGAATAATAATCAAAGGGATTAAGCATCAGCTAGGTTCGCCAGCGAAGTTCGCCGGGCTGGTTCGCCGGGCTGGTTCGCCGGCGAAGTTCGCCGACCCCTTGCCGGCGAGGTGGCCGGCGCAGTCCGCCGGGCGAAGTTCGCCGTGGTTCGCCGGCCACCTCGCCGGCCGAAACAGAGAGAGTCGTGCACAGAAAATGATGCCATTGAAAATTGACAAACAATTTAAAATTTTATGAACCTGCGATTTTACCCTGGGACCAATATTGGCAAATTGAAAGGTCAGAAATACCAAGATTAGTGCTTTTGTATGAAACATTTTACTCGCTTTTCATCGGCTCTACTCGTAAAACCAAAAAAATGGCATCCCACAAACCTGTGAAGTTGAAGGGCGCTGCAGTACCGTATCCAGGCCAATCGTAGCGTGGGCTCCGGTGGAAGGTACCTGGAAATTAGTGTTTTGCAATCGGTGTGTTTCAACTAAAAATCTAGAAAATTATGTTTTATGCAGCGACATAGAAAAGAAAGAAGCATCGGAAAATGAAGAAAATAGTACTATCGAATATGCAGCTTGCCCCTTGAAAAAAATGAACCAATGCAATGAATTGATTTGAATTGATTGATTGAGTTTTTTAGCCAAAATTAAGCACAAAAAATTGTGTTTTGCGTAATAAAGTATATGGCACAAGTTTCAAAAAGCAATACCGAGCCCCAAAAGTTCATGTTTCGGCCAACGATTAACTAAAAGTTGGTGAAAAACAAATATTCGCGAGAAACCTCGCATAAATCAGCCTAATGAGCCTACTTAATCTGCATTTTGCTAACAAAAATTACGCCAAAAGGAATTTCTGGCATTATGTCAATTTATAAACCGAATTTCTGATCCAGATTTCTGATGTTTCGAAGTTCGGCAAAAGTAAATTACACACTTTTTTATAATTCCTTTCTTCCGGTCAGCATCCCAAAAAACTCACATTAATATGCAGCGAGATATTTTCCAGCTCGCCCTCGAGTACGGTGACGACGTGTTCGGAGGTGTACGGCGTACGGCGGACCTGAAAATCGAGAATTTTAGGGCAGGCTAGCAGAGATTGTTTGAGGAAATGGACGGACCCCGAGAGGAGGGCAGGCTAGCAGAGATTGTTTGAGGAAATGGACGGACCCCGAGAGGAGGGCAGGCTAGCAGAGATTGTTTGAGGAAATGGACGGACCCCGAGAGGAGGGCAGGCTAGCAGAGATTGTTTGAGGAAATGGACGGACCCCGAGAGGAGGGCAGGCTAGCAGAGATTGTTTGAGGAAATGGACGGACCCCGAGAGGGAGGGCAGGCTAGCAGAGATTGTTTGAGGAAATGGACGGACCCCGAGAGGAGGGCAGGCTAGCAGAGATTGGAGGAGGAAATGGACGGACCCCGAGAGGAGGGCAGGCTAGCAGAGATTGGAGGAGGAAATGGACGGACCCCGAGAGGAGGGCAGGCTAGCAGAGATTGAGGAGGAAATGGACGGACCCCGAGAGGAGGGCAGGCTAGCAGAGATTGGAGGAGGAAATGGACGGACCCCGAGAGGAGGGCAGGCTAGCAGAGATTGTTTGAGGAAATGGACGGACCCCGAGAGGAGGGCAGGCTAGCAGAGATTGTTTGAGGAAATGGACGGACCCCGAGAGGAGGGCAGGCTAGCAGAGATTGTTTGAGGGAATGGACGGACCCCGAGAGGAGGGCAGGCTAGCAGAGATTGGTTGAGGAAATGGACGGACCCCGAGAGGAGGGCAGGCTAGCAGAGATTGTGGAGGAAATGGACGGACCCCGAGAGGAGGGCAGGCTAGCAGAGATTGGTGGAGGAAATGGACGGACCCCGAGAGGAGGGCAGGCTAGCAGAGATTGGTGGAGGAAATGGACGGACCCCGAGAGGAGGGCAGGCTAGCAGAGATTGGAGGAGGAAATGGACGGACCCCGAGAGGAGGGCAGGCTAGCAGAGATTGGAGGAGGAAATGGACGGACCCCGAGAGGAGGGCAGGCTAGCAGAGATTGGAGGAGGAAATGGACTGGACCCCGAGAGGAGGGCAGGCTAGCAGAGATTGAGGAGGAAATGGACGGACCCCGAGAGGAGGGCAGGCTAGCAGAGATTGGAGGAGGAAATGGACGGACCCCGAGAGGAGGGCAGGCTAGCAGAGATTGGATGAGGAAATGGACGGACCCCGAGAGGAGGGCAGGCTAGCAGAGATTGGAGGAGGAAATGGACGGACCCCGAGAGGAGGGCAGGCTAGCAGAGATTGGAGGAGGGAAATGGACGGACCCCGAGAGGAGGGCAGGCTAGCAGAGATTGGTGGAGGAAATGGACGGACCCCGAGGAGGAGGGCAGGCTAGCAGAGATGGAGGAGGAAATGGACGGACCCCGAGAGGAGGGCAGGCTAGCAGAGATTGAGGAGGAAATGGACGGACCCCGAGAGGAGGGCAGGCTAGCAGGGATTGGGGGAGGAAATGGACGGACCCCGAGAGGAGGGCAGGCTAGCAGAGATTGGAGGAGGGAAATGGACGGACCCCGAGAGGGAGGGCAGGCTAGCAGAGATTGGAGGAGGAAATGGACGGACCCCGAGAGGAGGGCAGGCTAGCAGAGATTGGTGGAGGAAATGGACGGACCCCGAGAGGAGGGCAGGCTAGCAGAGATTGGTGGAGGAAATGGACGGACCCCGAGAGGAGGGCAGGCTAGCAGAGATTGGAGGAGGAAATGGACGGACCCCGAGAGGAGGGCAGGCTAGCAGAGATTGTTTGAGGAAATGGACGGACCCCGAGAGGAGGGCAGGCTAGCAGAGATTGGAGGAGGAAATGGACGGACCCCGAGAGGAGGGCAGGCTAGCAGAGATTGGTTGAGGAAATGGACGGACCCCGAGAGGAGGGCAGGCTAGCAGAGATTGGTTGAGGAAATGGACGGACCCCGAGAGGAGGGCAGGCTAGCAGAGATTGTTTGAGGAAATGGACGGACCCCAAGAGGAGGGCAGGCTAGCAGAGATTGTTTGAAGAATTCTTACCTCAACATTGGCGGCTTCATAGGCCTTGTGCTGATGCTTGATGGCAAGTACCGTACTCAGCACTTCATTGACACCCTGCAGGGGTACGGTAAGCTGCTGGGCGGCCAGGATACGCTCGGAGAGGACGCGAGCCTGAAAATTAGGGGTTTTTGGCTTGAGTTTTTAGCTAACGAAATGGAGTTAGACTTGCATTTTTAATCGGTTTAATAAAAAGAGTGCCGATTTTGGAAAAAAATTATTCACGAGTTGCTATATATATTTTGTTATTAATTAAAACAATTTAATAGAACTATCATTCTTAGCTGCCTCTGGTAAGGAAATGTTTCAATTCTATTCGGGATTTCGCCGGGGTTGAGCCATTTAATGTTCTTTCGACGACGTTCCAATCCATTTTTTACTCTAGAAATTGCACCAATTTAATGTCGCGGAATCTTTCTGATTATATAGTGAGGTCGCAGATTAATGCATGCTATAAGCAGTATAAGCAGGTTTTAATGTACGATCAAATACCGTCCAATTATTTTTTGTGTTTGCCATTTTTACTACTTTATAATAGCATGATTTTTCTGATTACATAAATTTAATGCATAGTCTGTCGATCGCATCCCGATTAATAATCTTTAATTAAATGAATTTCATGCACCCTAGGTCTGGCGACACAAAAAAAGAAGTGTTCCAAATTAATTTCAGCTATCGACAGTTTTCGGCCAATTAATGAACGATGATCGGCCAATGACCGAAACCGTTACGCTGATTTTTCCGCTGTACAAATTACACTAATTTAATATCATGGAAAACTTCTGTTTATATAAAATGAATTCCTGATCCTTCTCCCCAATTCCCCAATTAATTAATCTTTAATTAAATTGATTTCATGCACCCTAATTTTTCCGACACAAAAAAAAGAAGTGTTCCAAATTAATTTCAGCTATCGACGGTTACGAGTCATTTAATAGAGTGAAGTTGTGCATGACCCACTTATTTCTCGTGAATACAAATTATACTAATTTAATGTTATCAAAATCATACCTTCTCCTCATAGGGCAATACCGTAGCCAGGGCGGCTTTCTCGCCGGGACGCTCGAGAAGCACCCGCGATTTGGAGTGCATCGACTCGGTGGTGCTCGAGCCTTGGGGCCGCTTTCGAGGAGGATGTCCTGAAAAATAATATTGGGTTTTAGTGAACTTTTTGAATCGGATGGTAAAATGACTCGAAATGATCGTATCAACTAAGTTTGATATCTAAAAATTTCAATTTTTTTAGCTTGAAAAATGATGTTTCGAATCATTGCACTCATCACTTCGTTATTATTTTAGCAGGGGGGGTTGGGTTTTTTTTTTTCTGCCCACTTGGAAATAACAAGAATTTGTAAAAATAGTGGAATATCCCTAAAACAAGCTTTTAAGTTAGATTTAAAATTATTGAAAAAGAAAAAGTTAAATGAATGGTATGGTAATGGTAACTATCTAGATGAAAATGACCGAAACATTGAAAACCGACATACTATACTGGATTTGCGCTGCCCAGAAACATAATTTTCTAAATCGAAACTTAGTTTTTAAAAGCACAACCTAGAATATTATTGTTAACATAATTAAAATAACACCTAAAAAGCCTAAATTCGGAAGCTCAAGAATTTTTGGGTTTGCAATTTTCGTTTTAGGCGTCAAGCTACGATTGAAATTTGGTATAATTAGAGTTTACCACGTACAAATAACGTTTTAGAAGAACCTGAAGGCTCAGAAGATTTTTACAAATAATGAGGATCAGTGACTCTTGCAAAAAAATGTTTTGGCGCCGCTTCATTTGCAAACAAACCTCACGCCGTTAATCCTCTCGTCGTCTATCTTGCTTGATTTGCTTGAATTTTCGTGTTTGTCCTAGTTGCTTTAAAGTACGTAACAGGACCAGAAGATTTAATTTACCGGTTTCAATAATTATAATTCGCCGTAAAATATTTAGTTTGAAATTTAAGGTTTTAATGTATTTTTAAATACTTGTACTGTCGAATTTAATCAATACTTAATTATTTATAATGGTCGCACTATAAATGAACAAATTTTTTCGATTGTACAAAAGGCGATAGGACAGGATATTTTTTTGGGAAAACCATGTTTCAAGGTATCTACCTTTCCATGGTGTTACTAGCCTGTTAATGTCCTGAGTTTTGAATTTGCATCTACAACAATACAGCTGAAATACTATTGCTTCTACACATGGAATTTTAAGAGCTAAATATTTTTTAGTAGCAGCTTTGCTTAGTAGGGTTTAAAGGGAGCAGGACAGGGAGGAATGCTTTTTACAGGAGCACGACAGGAGAATGCAGCCTCAGAAAAAAAAAAATGAATTTTTACATGTTAAAGGAGAACCCGTCGGAACAATTTGAATTATAAAGGGAGTGTGACAAAAGGTCTAACTTTTAAAGCGAGAGTGACAGAACATTTTAGATTTTAAAGGAGCGGGGCAGCAAGTCATCTAACCTACCTTTGTCTGCATCACTTCCTGCGTGTGCTTGAGGGTCTCCTTTTCCGTGACCCTAGCCATCGCCACCTCTTCATCCCCCACGATCACGAGATCCTGCTCAACGTCCGACTCGCCGCGGCTCATCACAATGTTGGCTTGCACCTGAAAAAGGGGTGTTTTAAAAGCGCATTATGTGTAAAAACTCGTCAAAACGAAACGGAAAATTTTTGCAAAAACATGTTTCACTATTCGGTAAATTTGCGGAGTTTTTTCAATTTTTTAATCGAAGCCCAAGATCGGTCAATCTTTGCCTTTTTCTTAAGATTGCGTTAATAGGTCAATCTTAAAAATTGTGTGGTCAAAAATCGTTTTAAAAAGCTTTTTTTTAATAGCGTTACCCACCTGTTCTTCGGTGGAAGTTCGTTCTCCCTCGGCGGGGATCATCTCGAATTTGATGGGGATGTCCATATGCAGCGAGGTCTGTAATTAAACTTTTAAATATCTAAAACTTAAAAACTTTGAATTTAAAAGTATTACCAAGCTTAACAACGTTTACAACTATCAACCTCACAAATCCCAAAAATTTTAAACATTTAGGATTCTAAAAATATATTTTAAAACGATAAACTTAAAAGAAATCAAAATTGAAATGGCAGCTAAAAAACCGATAAAACTGTTGTTTTTAAAAGATCTATTGACGATAATAATCATTTACCTAAAGTTTGTAATTTTGTATTTTGAGCTGCTTAAATAACAAAAATTTAGATTTATAAAGCTTTTATTTTACCTCAACGGCCTCCGTCTCGAGCTCAGCCACCTCTTTCTCCGGCTCGACGACGGTGATCTTGTGCTCGAATTCCTGCAAGGAAAGGAATGGTAGATTTTAATTTGTGGAATTTGAGGGGCCAGAAATCACAACATATTAATGGACTTTCTTCCGTAACAATCAGGCAAGGAGTTGAAGCACAATTTTTTCTAGAAACGATATTCGAAACTTTACATTTTAGAATTTGAATTTATGCATTATTAAAATAATTTCTAGCACCGAAAAATACAAAAACAAACATACTAGTTCATAAAAGTTATTTTTTGCTCGCGTACGTTTAGTTTATTGAATTTAACCTTGACATAGCTAAAAAAAAATTAGGATGGTATGGCTTCTTCCTATTGGAAGTAATCTGAAACACTTATTTTTGGCCAAAAAACGTGAATAGATTTGGTTATTTTTTAAGTTTTGAGAAGCTATATTTATGGTTTTTTTTGAAATCGATTTTTGTAGCCGATAAATTTTACTAAAAATTTTACATATTTGAAATCATAAATATACCCACCTCATCCCGATGGTTAACCTTGACATTTGTGCTGACCGTCGAGCCGTCTTCGGTTTTCACGAATTTCGACACCGTCATTTGGAGCATGCTGTTCTCGTCTTCGGTGTCGACGGCTGTAATTTTCGTGGAGATGCAAAAATCTTGACGTTTGTCCAAAAAATGACTACGGGATTTACTCCAAACATTTATCACCATGTTTATTTACCTATTAGTCACCACCATGATTTGGACGATTAAAGCGAATTTCCCCAGATTTTTTTGGATCTGGGGCAAAACATATTTTTTTTGAAAAAGTGAAGAAAGCAATGCGGAATTAAAGGCAGAGAGAATTAAGCACCGATTAGAATAGCATCTCACCCATTTCTACTAAAACAAAACTGAAACACAGAATTTAGTAATACGTCGGGATTTCATCAAAATTAATAAAATTCTCAGAATTGTTTTAAGCATATTAAAATGCATTTCGAATTTCATTTTAGATTTATTTAGACCAAGGCAGGAATGATCAAGAAGAACCAATTTCTACTAAATCAGAGATGAAACACATCAAATGGACTTACCACTCTCGACGACGACACGCAACGACAGTACCGCCGTACCATGGACGTTAGTTGCATGGCAATAGTAAGTGCCGGCCTGGAAAAAATAGATTATCTGGATGACTTATTTTCTTAGCTTACAATTTAAGCGAGGTTTACGTCTTTCTATATTGGGGAAAATTTGAATCTACAAAATTTCGTAATTTCGCTTGTTTTGTATTTTTATTGGGCAATACTAATTATTTTGCCGCGCCGCGAAACGCAACGCGCATGCGGCGCGGCCTCCGGGAATGCGCGTAATCGATTACGCAATTTAAAGCCTGGCGTGAGCGTTGCTTGCAGAGTAAATTTCTGGGAAACCTAAGACTAAAAAATATATAGCCCTGTCTCGCTCGTACCCTTAAAATCTTAACGTAGGCCAAACTTTTGTTTTTATGTTTAGGGAGAAAACATCAATGTTTCATCCCACAACCTAAAAATGTAATTTCTCTGATCTGAATTTCGTTCGGTTTCTGGCTTAATTCCAAGCCTAAGCATAGAAGAAGCGCGCGTTACGTGTCGCGTGCGTCCAGAAAATGGCTATGGAATTTATCAACAAAATTGATAGCCGTTTCTGGCTCGCACCTTCAATTTAAACCTCTTAAGGATGCTCAAATTTTTCAAATGTCTTTTAATGTTTCAAAGTATTATCGAGATAGATTACGGCTTTAATTCGTTAATCAGAGTTTTAATTTTTTCAAAATCTGGGCTTAAAATTTTTAGGCGAAAGAACGTAAAGGATATACAAATTCATTATTGATGCGCCGCCATCAATATGATAATTTTTGCAGAATTTCTAATGGCACACAGAGAATGGTGGGGAAATACATCAATAAAAATGGAATTCATACTCCAGATGTTTTTCTTATCAAAATTTTCGCATCAAAACAACATGTTTCAAAATGCCGTCATGCAAAATTCGGCCTGGATCGCGTAATTCATCGTCGATTTCTCATCTTCCAGAGTTATGCGTTTTAAATGCCTAACCTCGGTTTTTACCAATAGTTTATGTTGTAATTAAAATTAGCGCAGATTAGATTTTTGGGCAAAAAATTCCTCGATATTAATACGGAAATTTTTCTCCCGAAACTTGAAAATGTAAACTTTTTGCTTTGGATTGTTGATGTTGCTCATAATCTCACGAAAAAATATTCATATTTTTAATTTTACATAAAACTTTAAATTTTAATAGCCAGCAAATTCCTACCTGGGTCGCCTCGGCGTTTTTGAGCGTCAACGACACGACGCTCTTATCGTAGGCCATTGTGGTGTTTCTGGAAATATATACCATTTACGCAATTAAGCGAAGAAATGTATATAATCGAGATTATCCGGACCAATACTCTCCGAAAAATCTTTAGTTGACTTCAAATTTGCTATAAAACATATTTTCCGAAAAAACTCACCGATCGACATTCAGCTTCTGCTCGCCGCGGTACCACGAGACGAACGGGGTCGGGGTCTAAATACGAAAACTGAAAGTATAAAAATGAGGTAAAATTAATTTATGCGAATCTTGGCTTTAAAGGGGATCGGCCGGCTCAAACTATGTTGAAACTTATTTTTAATAGCTTTTTCAACATTGTTCTTCCACCTTTTTGCCGGCACGATTCCCTTAAAAATACCGCGTTAAATCAGGTCAAAACTAGATCAGGATCTAAAATGCTATATATTTTAAAGGAACCGTCAAGGCATCGCTCTCTGTTTTCTTGTGGCCACTTCCTCTGAATTTTCCCGCGCCGCGGCATGCGACGCGCGCACAACGCGGCTTGGGCTGTTAAAAGAGCGTGATCGATTACGCCATGGAAACCCGACGCGCGCGTTGCGGCAAGATTTTTAAGGAAGACATAGCCAAAAAAAATTACCATGCAACCGAAGCAAAATTAATCGTTAACCCCCAGAAGAATTCAATGTTTTAAGAAATCAGGCTGTCCCAAAAAACGTTTTTAGAATAATTCGCCGGTAGTAGCTCTTGAAATGCACAAATTAAAAGTTTAAGCACCATAAAATGTGTTGTTTTGTTGAATTACATTCCCCGATAGTTTTAATATACAAAAATAATGGATAAATTAATGCAAAAACTTACCCCATAGACGCGAGTCTCAATCTTGAGCTCCTCGCCCTCGCGGGCCACAAACTCGTCGCGGATCGAGTCGAAGCGGGGCGGGCCGGCGATTGAGTCTCTGAAAAATGGTGTTGTAAAGCTTTTTTCTAATTTATTTTTTTAAACGCGATTTTTGACAAAGTCGTAATCAGCTTCACATTAACCCAATAACAAAAACGGGGTTTTCACGGATGGAAACCTGAACCCGTCGATTTGCTTGCAAGATGCCGAAATTAAAAATATCGGAAACGGCAGGATGTCTAAGAAGATTTTCGAAAATTCATAATGTCGAATCGTCGACATGGAATTTTTCAGTGAACACTGTAAAAATCCGCCAAATCGATGCAAGGACTTTCGACATTGTGAAATTTCGAATTAGTAGGAAATTCCGGCTTTATAAAATTTCGATGCGCTGCCCCTCGACTACATAGAAAGTTTCGGAATTTGTCACGATTGTGATTATCACGTAATCTCATCTGGAATCGCAAAAAAATGGTGTTTTATTCCATTTTTAAAAATATGTTTTATCAATTTTTAATAACCGAGCGACGTCCTCGAGCTAGTAATCGGGTAAAAACTTGAGGTGGTAAGTATTTCTCCTCATCCGTTTTAGATAAAAGCCATTCCTTTTTAATTTAATTCAATGATATTAAATTTAATTAAATATTAAATCGATTTAAGAGTAACTCATTTACTAATCATAGCTATTGTTTATTGGCTTTTTTATTGAATGAAATCCTCGTGTGTTGGCCGAAATCTACAGTAATTGGCAACATTACGACTTATTTTATGATTTCAAAATTATATATATTATCTTGTTTTTGTTACTTAATATTTAAGAGAACGTACGTCTGTTGGCTGGAATCACGGACGATAATCTTCACAGCCTCGTTCATGGCGTCCATGAAGATGTTGGCCACTATCGAATGGGCCACAGAATCGGCGACCTTGACGAGCAGCTTGTACTCCTCCTCCTTCTTCTTCAGCTCGGTCACGTCGGCTTTTTCGGATTCTTGAGCCTCCTCATCTTTTGAGGCTCGTTTCTTCTGGAAAACGGCCGAGTCCTCGTAGGTCTTCGAAGCGAACTCGAGCTCCTGCTCCCCAGGGGCCGGGGCCACGGTGTGCTCCTGAAACATTCATTTTTATGAGCCCTTATAAAATTTGTTGTATTAAATCCTAATTAGCTTATATGATGTATATTTTCTTTAATTCGTTGAAGATTTTATTACCTAAATAACTTCATTTTCTTCACATTTTTTTGATCGATCTTTGTGTTCGCCATTGGATCGGAAATATTAATCGAATTATGTATTTTTTTACATGAGATATATCCGAAATATACATTTTTAATGCTAAGAATTGGATTTATTCACGGAGAAAAATATTTAAATCAATTTACATAAAGTTTTTAAAAATTGGGAAATTGTAAACACACCTAGTCGGAAAATGTCGGTGCAGAATCAAAAATGCAAAAGTAAAACTGTTTTTCGGCAATTACGAAATAAAGGTTTCCACTATTGCTAAAACTAAAAATTGGCTTCAGCGTTCAATGTCTCCTGGCCGCTAGTGCAATTTAAACATTTTTCCTCCCGAATTTAAATTTAGAGCCTCTAGTCCATATTCCTAAGCTACAGAAAATCTTATTAAAGTATTCTAGGCCACGCCCACCTCTTGTTTCTCAATTTTTTCGGGTTTTTCGAGGGGTAGCCGGAGTTCGGCGGATGTGCTGGTGAGGCCGTGCTCCGATTCGGCCTTGCATGTGTAGACGCCTGAAAAGGTGGTAGTTTAAAATAAGTGAACGTTACCTAAAGGTTGAAAATTCAATCATGAAGTCCCGGAAAAAGTAAAGCTTCCAAATAATTTTTTAGGCCATTATGTTTCACGTTTTGCATGACTTGCGACAGTATTTTTTTTATATTAATCAGCAAGTTCTCTTTATCCGGCCAGTTATCTTTTACTTTATACATATATAATTTTTATAAGTTAAACTGTTTATGTTCATATTTATCAATATAATCGCAATAACGTCTCCAAAACAGGAATTTTTTTTAGAATTTTATGTTTCAAAAATTGATTGTTCCAACTGCTCTTCCGTCCAGAGTCAGGTGTGTTACGGTAAGATCTTTTTTGAGCCAGGATTAATTGTAGGTTTTGCTAAAAGGTTAAAAATAGTAAATTTGAAGATCAGCAAAGTTGAAAGCTTTCATAAAACGATATTTTAAGCAGATTGAAGGTAACAGGTGTCATTAAAGTTGACAAATTTATCC